AACAATACATGCCGGTATTCGGCGGGTGCCATTCCCACGCATCTATCTAATGCTATGCACACTCATGCAAATCGGATAAGAATTGTACGAATGGCATCCGTCGAAAAACGGAATAGGCATGACAATTCAACTTTTTCTTACAAAAAAAAGAAGTAATTTTTAAGCAAAAAAACAAAACCGACTTCAATTCTCATATAAAAATTTAAGATCATCGTTAATTTCTTCATGATCCGATGATCGGACTTAAACCAAATTAGTATGGGTGAGGTAACACCTTTCCCTTAAAAAAAAGAATTATAGAAATCGGATAATGTGGGGCAGGCAAAGTTATGCGGTAAAATACATAAAAAAATATTGCGACGAATTGATGACCGTCTCCTTTTTGTGAAGTCGATTAAAAAACAAAAAAAACGGTAGGCCCCTCAGCGAAGAATATCTAGTGGGAGTTCCACAGAAGGAGGACAGTCAGCTTTTTTTTCGACTTTCAATGCTTTTCGGCACAAAAAGTGTCATATTTTGGGGCTGTACTTCACACTTTGCAAATATCGAAATTTCGTTTAAAAAAATCGCCTTGGAATTATCCCGAAAATGGTTGCTTTACTTTTGCGAAGTGCTGTACATTGTATGTACATATCTTCATACATTTCGTTGAACTCATAGCGTGAATTCTTGCGTTTTTCACCACCCACTGATTGCTGCCCAAACAGTGCGGTATTTTGAAATGCAAATTCTTGTATTTTTAATTGCTAAAAAAGTATCGTAAAAATTGCACAATTCCTACTTTCGTATCGTCTGATCTGGCAGTTGACCATTTAAGCCCTTGATTGTTGGATACAAGGACTTTGACACCTTGATTCTGCTTGCTGTTTTCATTTGAACTTGTCCTCGCCTCCTTCACACTTGGCCTTATTCTTGGCTGTCTGTAATTTTATGAATTGTCTACTTGACTTTTTTTACACTCTGCTGGGAGAAGGAGAGGCAGAAATTGAGAAGCCGCCACCACCCGAACCAACACTGGTGCTGGTACTGGTATCTTCGCAAGTGACAGGCATTTGAATTTCAAAATAAATTATTTTTTCTTGCTTTATTTACCAACAAAAATGCATGTTGGTTGTGAAGTATATGTAGATACTCACATATGTACGTATGGGCAAATCCGAGGAATAGTCAACCAAAATCGCAAAAAATGCAGGCAATTCGAATTCTCTCATTTTTGTATCAAAAAAGGCATCATATTGTACGTCAGGATTGAAGTGATTTCTGAAATATCTGAACAGTTCTTTTGTGTACATGTGATTTTGCATCCCTTTTCATCATATGGCCTCGATTGATGTCAACTTAAGGTCTCTGTTTTACTGCCTTAAAATTGTATGGAAATTTTTACAGCGTTTTTTATGTGTATTAGTTTTTATTTGAGTGTATTGAGAATAATCGCTTACTTATTCAGTAACGTGCGAACATAGATTTCGAAGGCAAATACACCGACATTAACTTGCATTCTGTTTTGTTCGCATAAGTACTGCTATAAACCTTCCCTTAAACCACAAAAAATTTTTAACTATTATTTTTGTCGTCCGAACGTGACTTGCTGTCTCCACAGGCAAAAGTTTTTATCTTGATAATGTTATCAGGCAAAATTTTACCAATGGAGACCGCATATTGCTCTTGGCAAGCAATAATTACCAGAGCTTTTATCTTGATAAATATTGCCAGCAATTTGGTAGTTTTACAGCTACATTTTCATATGCGCGATAACTTCGTGGCGGCAACATCATTGATATTTTAATATAAAACAAAAGTTCGGCTGTTTTCAATTAAAATATTTGTTATTATGTATTCGGGTGTGAAATAGCATACCGAAGGCTTATATTCAATACCCTCTATCTGCACTTTTCACAAAAATTAGACTTTGATATAAAAATCCACCTAAGACTTAACTATCATCGGTGATATTAATGCTGACCTTGTACATATAACGCTTGATAGAAGAATTTACTATTAAATTGCAAAGTCAGAATTAACATCAATGGTGACAGGTAAGCCACAGATGGGTTCTAACATCACAAAGTAGTTTTTGTGAGAATTGCAGATAGAGGGTATTGAATATAAGCCGTCAATATTTTTTTTTTTTAATTTTTTGAGTGATTAAATCCGGAAAAAGCCATCTTACAAATGCTTTTATCAAAATAAAAAATGCCCACGTACAAATATTGCCTCTGCTTGTCAGGCAATAAAAATGACGGTAGGCAAAAACTTTTGCCTGTGGAGACAGGCCGTAACGTCCGCAACGCTAGGATTTGCCCATATATATGTACATGCATATTTGCGCACAATTGTACAATAGACCCATATTTATATACATATGCGCAAAAACACGTGTTTGCAGCACACACAGCTCGAAATTCACTTCGATTCAACTAAAATTGCTTTGTTACAATTCCTAGGAATTATTGATTTAACACATGTTGGTTGCCATGCAAAAACTGTCAATTAATGAAGCATTTGGGGCATATTTAAAAAAAAAAAAGATTTAAATGAAAGCATTGCAAAAAGAATCGTCACCTGAAATGCAAAAAGTCGTAAAAAATATCGTAAAGTTGTAACTAATAAAAAATTCCAAATTCACTTTTTGATTGATATGATCGATATCATTCTCAATATTGGAGCATGTGTGTGCGTATTTATTCATAATTATCGATATGTTTATGACAAATCGATATCATTTATCGGGATATGAATGGGCAAACCAGAACTGCTCATCGCAATGTTTACTCTGAGTGAAACTGAAGAAACTGGACAATCCTCTCACAAACTCTTGAGGTATTCGCAATTATAAATCAATTGATCCTAAAGCCAATGGATAGTAAAGAAGGAAAATTATCGAGAGTCATATAGTCATAAGGTTAAGCAGAACCTGAAACCATCTTAAAAAAATTAAAACATCTCGAGAAATCACATCCATAGAAGGCTAAAGTTTGCTATATTATTCGCGCGCGTGCTAATAGAATAGTTCTCGACCGGATTTCTCCGGGTCGATGTGGTGGCATAGAACTGACTATAATCCCTGCAAAAATCTTTGGATCATGTAGTCTATTTGTGGTAAATTGGAGTACTTACAAAAGTGTTCCTCTGTCATGCTGTAGCGGACCAACTGGTGTCTCTGCGCTAGCTTATTGTTTGTTATCCGATCACTGCTCGTGTTTTAACGAAACGTGATTGAAGTTGAGCATTTGAAAGCACATTTGCATGTCTGGCTGTAGCTGAACGTGTAGAGATGCTCACTGTTAGTTCTTAGCTTCCAGCATGTTCGGGTTCGAATACCGTCAGAGGCAACATATAATTTTTAATTTTTGTCTTGGTTTTTATTAATTTCGAAAAAGTATTTGAGAAGTGAAGAACAAAAGCGTGTACAAACGAAAAAATATAGCAACAATGCCATTGTTATTATGTTGGAGTAGTTTTGTGCTACTCTGATGTAATGCGGGGATGGAGTATATGGTCCTGCCCTAGGACATCGCAATGTTAATTGGACCATATTTTTTATATGAATTGTGGTTAATTTTGGAGTACTCCTTGGTCCTTAGGGAGTACTCTTTACACGCATGCATGGAGTAGTCGCGATTTTTGCAGGGATGCTGAGAGTCGACGAGATTGTCTACAAATATGCAGGCATGAAAACTTGTTGGCCGAAAACTGTAAACCCAGCGGTATACTTATTTAGTTTTCACTCATCCGTGATGCCTTGGCGCATATGTATGTATGTACACTGAGGGAAATAATGCATACGTTTTCGGTGCCGTAATATTACGACCGTATCATACCGAACGCTAATAGCGGTACCGCTTTTATGTAAAGCTAAATGGACGTAACGTAACTATGCGCTTTTATGTTGTATAGGCATTCGTTGCTTTTCACAAAGTTTATTATTTAGGACTTCATCCTCTTCGGCCATCCATGCACTTTCCACTTTATTATTCAAAATTCTTAGAAATGTATATTTAATGGTGTTTTTTTTGGTCAAAAGAAGTGTAAACAAATTTTCTAATACACCGCTACAAATATGACGTTGCCAAAAAACGTTGATAAATAGTTATACACCGTCACTGTTGCCGTCAGAAATATTACGGTGCCGTCAAATTACATTACGGTGTGTATTGCCGTCATCTTAGTTGACATCTTGCAATATTTACATGGCAACGTTTTT